GCATACGATTGCATAGCTAGATTCCTATTGGCTATTGCACTTTGCAATAGCCAATAGCAAACTAGCTAATGCACCCGCCCACTGCTGCTGTCAATCAGCAGAGGGGGACCTGAATTTTTCTATCAGGTCCTCTTCTGGTGATTGAAAGCAGCAGAGGGCGGGTGCAATAGCTAGTTTGCTATTGGCTATTGCAAAGTGCAATAGCCAATAGGAATCTAGCTATGCAATCGTATGCCTTTTTTTTTATTTTCTGACTGACGGTCGGGCCGCGGCTCCCGATGTCAGAAAAGAAAAAAAAAAACGATCGCAGGGAAAGGTTTAATCTGCTTGATAGAGCAGATTAAACCTTTCCGGGAGAAAATGTTTCTCTCCCGGGCGGCCGGGAGCCGCTATCTAATAGCGGGAGACTCCCGGAGCTTCCGGGAGAGTTGAGATGTCTGCAGATCAGAGCAACCAATTACAGATTGCTCAGAGGATATTCCTCTCCAGCCAATCACTGTGGGGCTAATGGCCAGTGGTGCATGCTGGGGGAGGAGATAAATACTCGGGGAGGCTGCTATGGACTATCCGAGATGGCTAGGCCTGAAGCCTGGGGAATAGTCGTGTGCCTGCACTGAAGCCTGAGTCTGGGGGGCCAGTGATTACCGCTGATGACAAGGATGAACATGACTAGTGACTACTACCTGAAGTGCTGCTGTGCCAGGTGTACTTCCTGCTGGGAATGGAGACAGTGATCACACTCTGCAGTGCACTCGAGTCTACATCTGCTGGATGATCCTAACTCTCCACCTCTCTCCCTGAAGTTCTACAACACATCCTGATCCCCCCGAGGCAATTGGATATGAGAGAGAGACCTATGTAGAGTATTTAGTACTGTTGCTCCTCTTTGCTCCCTACATTGGCTTCACATTGCCCTTTAGCTACAAGCATTGAGGGACTCGGCTGTACTCGGCCCCCCTGTGGCTTGCCTAGACAAACGGGTAGCTTCACCCTCCTGCAGCTTCTAATGCACATGGTGAGAAGCTCCCAGTGTGCAGTGAAATCAGAGGAAGCCATTTCAGTCCAGGAGAGGAGCCGGTACAACTGTACAAGACTGAAGGGAAGGCCGGGGTTCAGCTTTAGGATTACCTTTAATTTTACAACTCAGAAAATGGAAAACAATTCATATCTCAGACATGGCGAGGAGCTCAATGTGGGAATTCATATACATACATTATGATGAATAGAGAGTCCAGGCATCAGGTCATTCAGGAACCGTGCTACAGACAGAGACCCTTTCATATTACAGCAGTTTTAGTATATAAACCAATGTATCCACATTCAGGACTGAAGTCTCCTGTCACATGTTCCATCGTCTGTAGATGATACTGCGGCTGGCTCAGAGGTGGGGCAACGCGGTAACCTCTGAGTTATTTCAAAGTCATTCATAAGATTGGGATTCCGGCAACCCTCCAGATTTATGGGACAGCCAGGTATAGATAATAAATGGCAAAAAGGATAGAGAAGCCGCCGCGTGTCTCCTGGAAACATGTAACAGGAACCTATGAGCATAGACATGTGGGACAATACTGCTGACTTGATGGTAAAGATCCCCGTCATCTCCGTCCTTTCCAGGAATATTAACAGGATGTTATTTCAGACTTTCATTTCTATATTCATAGTCCAGATTTAGGACATTTCAGGTCAGGTCATTATTGCTGTGTGTCCTCCTTAGGGAGATTTAACCACACTTCCTGTGTGGTCACTGGAACAGGAAGTGAATAGAATACCAAATACAGGGATGCACAGCACTCCCGTTTGGGTGCTGTGTGGTTAAAGAGACCCTGTCACCAGATTATTTCAACAACAATCTTCCCATAGGACTCCATGTTATCTCATTTGTGTAGACATCTAAGAGCCCTGAGACTGCTGCTGGGTGCCACCATCTTGGATGTGATGTCAGCAGCCCCAGCAGAATTAGAGCTGTCACTCAGGTGGCACTCTATAGTATGTTCCTTTGTTCCTCCCCTAGCAGCTACATAAAAGGTTATGTAGTGAGGGGAGGGGCGGAGGACCTGGGCCAGCACAGACAGTAATTAGACATAAGAGGAGAGGGCTAAGACAAGGAAGGGGCTGTTCTAGGAAATTGACACTTTCAAGAGAGTCAATTCTGTAGCAAGTCCAGATACACTTTGTAAGCCAATTTCTGTGCTTTTCCCTGCAATGTTTTAGGCTGGTGACAATGTCTCGATAAGACAGGAAGTGAGGGGAGATCTCCCCAACAGGGATGCAGCAACAGAAGGATCTACGCTTTGCCCGCTGTATCTAATACAGACAACACATTTTTGTGGGGTTCCACTTTAAATGCTCCTTTATCGGCCTGGGGAACTACAAATTCCAGAATTCCCGGCCAGTCTCCCATTATTATCTTCACTTTTTTTTTTAAATAACACACCAGATATAGTAATCTCTCCGGAACATTCTGTATAGAACATACAACATTATATTACATCATTCTATTATATTACATGATATTATATGATACAATGTAACCATCAGAGCTCAGAGGAAGTGATTGTATTGGTACAATATACGGAGCGGATCGGAGTCCTCTTCATACCGACGCTGGTGAAGAATCTGTATCCACAATATCAGTTTTCCGGGTCATTCTTTCTGCAGCTAGAGATGATCTCTTCCCAATATACAGAACCTGGAAGATACATTACATGGTGGTGTTGGTCCAGTAGGAATGAGAATTGGTTCTGGTGTAGATCCAGAAGAGGGGAGGTTCTCCTTGGAGGAGGTGAACCCATGATGAAAGTATGACATATAGACATGGTTCCAGGATTAGGGTGCTACCTCTCTGCTCACAATAGAGGAGCGGCTCATCAGAAGATCAAATCCTGGACATGTGGTTAGGAGCGCCTAGTAACAATGGTCATCTGGCTTGGAGATTTGTTTGTTGAACAAGAACATTCAATACAGTAAATACATTTCAGGGGATAGGCCTGTGTCCAGGGCTAGATTTACTTACTCTCTCTGCTGCCCCAAGGACAGGTTTATCAATGCACCCCCCTCCCCAATGGAGAATGGCAACCAGATAACAGGGGCAACACGGTTAGTTTTAATTTTTTTTAACTTTAATATTTTTCCTGTTTTATTACTTTTTATAATATTATTTTTATTTTAAAATTGTTTACTTTTTTATTTCTTTATTTTAATTATCATTTCTTATTATTTTTTACTTTTTATGATTTTAAAAAAAATGTCACTTAACTTTATTGCAATCACACAGGAGCTAACAAGCCCCTGTGTGATAGCATTTGGAGGTGACAGGTTCTCTTTATTGAACCTGTCACCTCCAATACAGGAGCTTTAGCACAGCACTGTGCTGGCTCTGCTGTGACAGCTGAGAGGGAAAGGCTGTGAAGGCAGCGTTCCTGTCTCAGTGTTTACACAGAGCAGAGTGGAGAACGGACGTTCTCCACTCTATTCTCCATTCTGAACTACTTTGCCGTGGTCCCAGGTCCCCCAGAAGAGCGGGAGACCCTGAAAACCACAGTGGGGAGGGAGGCGGCCAGCAGGGAGAGAGGCAGCCAGAGGTGGGGGCAGACCATGGGGGGGAGGGGGGGCAGACCTACAGGCTTATTACAAGTGATCTCAGCGGCATCGCTTCCCCTCTCTACTGCAGCAGGACTAAATGTAGAAAAAACTACCGCCACCCCTCTACTCCCTGCCACCCCAAGACCTCGGTGGCCTTCTGGGAAATCTGGCCCTGCCTGTGCCTTCCTCATGGCTTATAGCCCAACTGCACTCAAAATCTATTTCCCTACCATTTCACCCTCCCATCCCACTCTAACCTAATACAGCACCATGCAGTAACCCTCACCGGCCAGTCCCCTTGACTCCCCTTGAGCCAACATCTATAGTCCTCTGGATCCTGAGAGAACAACTTTGGTGGACAGCCAATGGGAACTGTCCACATCACACAGGCAGTGGCAGGACAACTGGAAGAAGGATCCCTGCAGGAAGTAAACAGAGAGAAGGACCGAGCACTGGATGATCATGTGATTGCAAGTTAAGGTAAGTGAATAAACGGGACTTAGAAAATTTGGGGTAGGAGGGAGGAATGGGAGGTTTTTACTTTTATCCTGGAGTTGGTCTTTAAATAACATAATTGTGGAGGAATCAAAATCAAGTTTGCTCAAAAATAAAACTGTATTAGGGCTAAAATGGGGCTGAAAACATCAACGTATAATAATAATAATAATATTAACGTGACATGGCCACAGTGAGGGTAGCTGGCTCAGTCAGTCTAGATGCCTATCCCCCAAAACGCGTTGGCTGTATCTGATGCTATTGTTCAGTAAGTATTTTAAATGAATTTCCAAGCATCAAATGCCTCTAACCACATATCCATAATCTGTCAAAATCTTTCCCTCCCATCCCTCCCTTTCACCCCACTGTAACCTATCCTCCAAGGAGGACGTCCCCGTATTTGGATCCACACCATAGCCAATTCTCACTCTGTCCTATCGTTGAGGCATTGGTCTTGTCTATACAGAATGGGTGGGGAAAGACAGACCAATTCTTGTAGAATTCAGGAGCCATTCAGTCCTGTCTAGGAGCCAGCAGTGACTTCTAAATATCCGGGAGAAATGTTCTTTCATTAAGGACAACAGTAAAGTTACCCATTGGACAAAAGCCGGCTTGGATTATAATGTAATGTTTAGTTTAGTAAACCCGTCCAGGATCCGAGATGCAGCTTTCTAAAATCACTGCATGAACTGTTACCTTTATCACTGTTTATGAACTAATCTTTGGCAGAAAGCACTGAAGGAGAAACCAAAATGAAGAAGGAGCCTTCCTAAATTGGACCCCAAAGGAATTTCTGCATCCCAGCTGCAGTACTGGGCACTTCTAGACACGTTGGCGACCTGACTCCGGTGATTTGTACTGTCCACAATACTTTACATTTGCCGCTGTCTCTGGAAAAGTTCTGGGAGGTCCCACATCTTGTTCTAGATCGGAACTCGGCGCTGGATCTGGATCGAGCGATCTTCCACTTTTTCCACGGCGGTTTCCTCATTGATGGCGTCCTTTTTCAGAATCCGCCATTGGATTGATTTTTCCACCAGTTCTGCGACCAGGTTAAATACCATCGCCAGCCAGGCCAGGCCAAATATAATCCACAGCGCGGCTAAACTTCTGTATATTGATATGTAGTGTTTACTGGGGTCCTTTCCTGCCAACATAAATAAAGCAATAAATTTGACATTGTGGATACAACAAGATCCTGTATTGGTGCAATGGAACAAGACTTCAATGGTCGCTGTTCATAAGGTTTATAATGACACTGTCCGTTCTCACAAAGTGAGGTTGTAGGTTGATGTCTCTAAAGCTGCATCTGTGGAACAAGCCTCAGCCTACATACCTGTATGTAGCCTGATTTTTCTTCCAGAGCACACCAGATGCCATGATAACTATGATGCTTAGAATGAGGATGGGGCTGCTGTTATGAAATCAGCCCTCTGTCCTGCCCCCTCCTACCTATCACACCTCATTATTGGAGCTTTAATGTGATGTACGGCTTCATTGACTTAGAGGGAAGGTGTAGCATTCCTACAGTGAGATTTGGTTTGTATTCTGGTGCATCTGGATTCCTCGGGAAGCAAATAAAAGGTATCTATAGGTGATTGGCTCTCATGGCGGCTGTCACTCTACCATCTTTATGTTCCACTACACCTTGGGTAGATTATTATTTTAAAAAACATTGTTACATGTAGCATCTCATTACAAGCAGAATGTTCTATGTGTGTAGGACTTGTCCACCACAAAAGTTCTGTATTCATGGGTGGCATCATGTGTGTACAGCGGAGTCAGGTTCTGAAGTCAAATTAAATATGTTTTTTAGGTTGAATCAATTGGGATGCCTCTCTGTGTGTTCCAACTACATTCCCAATGACATATAGAGAGGAATAGGAGCTGCTGTAATGCAGCAAAATTGTATTTACTGTATTTACAAAAAACACAACTCAATGCATGGCTAAGGCAACAATGAATACAAAAGAACCATGGCACCACGCAACCCATTTGAAAATTCAAAAGCTGTGTTCCAGATTCTTCAACTACTTCACAAATCAGAAGCAGAACACAAATACCCTTGTGCTATTTCTGTCATACATTATATAGCCAAATGTTTGTTGACAACTGACTATCACACCTATATGAGCTAGTTGGAGATCCCATTCCAACTCCAACTCTAATAGCCATTAATATGGAGTTGGTCCATCTTTGTGGCTATAACAACTTCCACACTTCTGGGAAGTCTTCTCACAAGGTTTTGGACTGTGCCTGTGGGAATGTGTGCCCATTTGCCAAAAACAAAGTATGTGTTAAGACCTGGCTCGCTATTTGTTCCAATTCATGCCAAAGGTGTTCATTATGGTTGAGGTCACAGCTTTGTGCAGGCTACTTGAGTTCCTTCACATCAAACTGGTCAAGCCATGTCTTTATAGACCTGGCTTTGTGCACGGGGGTAAAGTCATGCAGGAACAGAAGTGAGCCTTCCCCAAACTATTTCCACAAGGTAGAAAATTAAATAGTCTAAAGTGTTTTTGTATGCTGTAGCATTAACAGCACCCTTCACTGGAAACACCTAAACTAAATCATTTCAAGGGAGGTCCGCATACCTTTGGCCATACAGTGTAGGTGTGTATATGTACACTTCCATTAACACCAGTCTTAGGAGAGGTGAAGAATACATGGTACCCGTTAGTAACTTAGGTCATCTGTTGTTTAAAAGACAAAGGACGTTATTGGTGGAAGATGGCTGACAAGGAGAAAAGCACTGGCAGATGTTCTCCAGTACCTGGGCTCCAGGAACGTTCTTGAGATACCCAATGAAAAATGATGACCAATTAGACTTTTTCTCAAGAAAAGAGAGACAAGTGGGGAACTCAGTTACACGTAATATTCTCTTATACAGTACAGCGTAAAGAACATATCATTACCTAATACATAATCACCAAATCCAATGGTGCTGAGTGTAATAAAAGCGAAGTAGAATCCCTCACCGTAGCTCCAGCCCTCTACATAGCTGAAGATCATCGGAGGGAAGACGAGGAAGAAAAGGGAGCCGGTAATAAGGAAGAGACCCATTATCATCACCTTCATCACCTGGAAGAACACAAAAGATTCATCACTGACCCTGTTCTCACCATTGATACAGTGTGTGTCGTAGACTGCGTAGGCATCCTGTGTTGCCAAGTGATAAAACTCCAACAGGAGCGCCTGTAGTATACATAATGAGTACATTACCCAAATCCGATGCCCCAAAAAACCTTCAAAGCAAAGTACCATAGTGCCATATTAGCAAGGATGGGCCATGCTGCAGTAGAGAAAGCAGATCTATTATACACAATATGGCCAAAGGTTTGTGGACATCTGACCATCACACCTATAGTGTTTTGGACATTCATTCCAAAACCATGGCCAATAATATAAAGTTGGCCCCATCTCCGGCTATAACAGCCTACACTCTTCTGGGAAGTCTGATATTTTTTTGCCTATTGAGCAAACAGAGCAGCTTTTGAGTTATGTACTGGTGCTGGACAAGAAGACCTGGCTGACAATAGGCATTTTCACTTCATTCCAAAGGTGTTGATTATGGTTGAGGTCAGGGCTCTGTGAAGGACACTCAAGTTCTTCCACACCAGACTGGTCAAACCATGTATTTATGGAATTGGGTTGGACACCCCATTCTGAAACCATGTCCATCAACATGGAGTTGGCCACCGTATTGGTTCTATGAGAAGACCTGCCTCACAATAAGCAATCCAATTCATCCCAAAGGTGTTCAGTAGGGCTGAGGTCAGGGCTCTGTGAAGGACACTCATGTTCCTCCACACCAGACTGGTCAAACCATGTATTTATGGAACTGGGTTGGATATCCCATTCTGAAAACATGTCCACCAACATGGAGTTGGCCACCGTATTGGTTCTAACAGCCTCCACTATTTTGGGAAGGCTTTCACTAGATTTTGGAGGGTGTCTGTAGCAATTTCTGGCCATTTGTGAGGTTAGGTAATGATGTTGGATGAGACCTGCCTTACAATAAGCAATCCAATTCATCCCAAAGGTGTTCAGTATGGCTGAGGTCAGGGCTCTGTGAAGGACACTCATGTTCCTCCACACCAGACTGGTCAAACCATGTCTTTATGGAGCTGGCTTTGCACACAGGAGAAGTCATGCTGGAACAAAAAAGGGGCTTTACCAAACTGTTACCATAAGAAACACACAATTGTCTAAAATGTCTTTGTATATTATACTGTAGCATTAACCCTTTAATGGAAACACCTGAACTTAATCATGTCTAGGGGTGTTCACTTAGTTTTGGCCACATGGTGTACTGAAATTATGTCATCTGGCCAATCTAACATGTCTGAGTCCATGTCTCTTGCATGATATGAAGTTACAGGTGGGAGATGGTCATCAAAATGATGGCCTCCCAGTCACTGGTTCTGTGTCTCTTTCCTCATCCTCTGTGTGATACAAACAATCTTGGAGGGCACGGGGGTGGGGCAGATGAGTAGAAGTCTATGTCCAAAACTTCTCCCAGAGTGTAAAAAGAAGTATTTACATGAATATGTTTTTAAGGGTACTGCTCATCTGCCTGCCCCATTAATTGCCCCATTAAGGATATTTCCTCTCACTTTCTGTTGTGATACCCGTCATCTAGACAGAAAGTGAGGGGAACCCTCCCTGATGGGGACACATGCAGCAACAAAAATTGATGACACTTGCATTTCATGCTTTATTATTCTGAACAACATGCACATGGAGGTCCCTGCCTAGTAAAGACATTTAAGGCCATGTTCAGGTGGTACTATGGATGCACTGATACCGATTCTAGTACTTGTACTCGCTCAAATGGTCCGATATTTACCACAATATCAGAACTTCCGGTCAGAGGGAGATTTCCTCTGACCGGCAGTGCTGCGAGGGAACATGGACCTGGCTTCCTGGCCAATCAATAAGCCAGGCAGAGGGTAATGACTCGCCCCCCGGCCTCCTGATTGGCCGGGAAGCTGCCTTTATGCCGTTGGGCCAGCTTGATGCTGATTGACCGGGAAGCCGGCTTCCCAGCCAATCAGCATGGAGCCGGCCAAACATCATGAAGCCAGCTTCCTCGCCAATCAGGAAGGTGGGCAGCGGTTAATGACCCGCCTCCCTGATTGCCCAGGAAGCAGGCTGCATGCTGATTGGCTGGAATGCCGGCTTCCCGGCCAATCAGTATGGAGATGGCCAAAGAGCATGGAGCGGGTTTCCCGGCCAATCAGAAAGCCGGTGGCGAGTCATTACCCGCCACCCCGCTCTTGATTGGCCAGGAAGCCGGCTCCATGTTCCCTCGCGACACTGGTGGGAAGCAGGCTTGATGCTGACTGGTGGGAAGCAGGCTTGATGCTGACTGGTGGGAAGCCGGCTTCCTGGCTTATCAGTATCGAGCTGGCCAAACAGTAATGACACGCCGCCCGGCTTCCTGATTGCCCAGGAAGCTGGCTCCATGCTAGCGGAAGTACCGGTATCTGTGCATCCCTAGGTGGAACCCCAGGAGGTTGCCAGACGGGGCTTCTATGTGCATGTGTGGCAGCGCACTTTATTTAAATGTTATATAAATGTAAAATTTTCCATTGTTATACCCCAGATTCTTGGGGCTCCTGCGCACACCGGCCCAGCGCCACCAGATGGCTGTTCAGTCCTCTCCCGATCATATTCAGAAAGGCCACATTGAGCGGAATACCAAACAAAGCGTAGAAGACACAAAAGACTTGGCCGGACATGGTGCTCGGGTACAGATTCCCATAACCTGCAGAGGAGAAGGAAATATCAGCTACAATGTACAAACATATCATACATGAGATACACCCGGGGTGTGTGGTGCCGCCCTCACATACTGCATCCACCCTCCGGTCAATATCAAATACCCCAATTATCCGGCTATAATGGGATCCTTCCATTAGATCCGAAGTGTCCTTGATTAGAAAATTAAAAATAACTTAAAGTGGACCCAGCCTGCAATATATATTACCTCTCGCAGAGATCACAGCACTCCCCCTGACAATGCCTTCACCTGCTTTCCTCTCCAGAAGGATAGCTCCATCTTCATATAGGCATCATCCAGGGTCACACATCTATGTCCTGGACTGAGATGCTGGATCAGGGATCACAGTACTCCCCCTGACCAAACCTTCATCGGCTTTTCCCTCCACAAGGATAGAGACATCTTTATTCAGGTATAACCCAGGGTCACATTCCTGGTCTGCTCAGAGATAACACAGTCATGTAAATCCTGGTAACTGTGCAGTTCCTGGCTGATTAATTGGAGGGGGGGGGGGGTGGACTGAGGTGAGAGGCTTCAACAGATCTGTGTCAGACATTTGTGAACCCAGCCAAGTTATAAGTTGGCATCTCAATCCAAGAAGTAGGTGGTGACCCTGGATGATTCCTGAACAAGATCTCGTTCTCCTTCTGGACAGAAAAGCAGATAAAGGCATTGTCAGGAATATTGTGATCTTGGTGAGAGGTAATAAATAGCTGGAAGTGTTACACTGACACATTACTCCGCATTCTGCTCATGAAAATTATATTTGATGGCAGGTCTGCTTCAACTCATTTCCAGTATATTTGCAGCAATAACCTTTTT